AAAAAGTCATAGTGGCATCTATGAAAATAAAAGGTACATAAGGATAAGTTTAGCAGGCATGGCAGAAAAAAATGTTGACACATGTTATATTAAAATATGCTGCTAGTAAAATATGAAGGAAACCACAACAGGATCAAAAAGAAAACAACCATGTAGAGAAAACCAATACTCATATGAAACTTTAATCATACTACTTTTAAGTAGAGGTGTAAGCTTTATAAGTGAATAATAAAACCTGTATGTTTTTAATCCATCTGGCCATTTAAAATATCCATTTATTTTATCAGAAACACTATATAAGGATTAAAAGGATAAAATTATCTATTTGAAATATATGCAGTTAGTTGATAATGAAGATAGTAACAAACACTATTTTTTAAATGTGCTTATAAATATTAGAGGAACCTAAGTGGCTGTTGAAATAGTCTTTTACATTCAAGCACATTCAATACATACATCTTTATTTTTTAAGTAGTCTATTTTAAAGATAGCATTAATGGAAAATTTAATAATATATTTATTACAAAAAGAAAAAATACATTAATCAAAACTGAACAAGAGGTAATCTTTAACTATAAGTATTTTCTATGGCAGACATTTAGGGAAAACAAAACTTTAAGTAAATAAGTTCTTATAATAAATGTATATACCCCATACAGATACAATTTAAAAGGCATAGAAATCTATGCCTTTTAAAATTGTCAACATTTTATTAACTATCAAATAAAAATTTGAAGAATTTTTCAAGAAGTTTTATAAAAACATAATATAATATGAACATATTGAAAAGCATGCATTTTTCAGAAAAAAATGCCTATCTGTCATTATGTTAAATAAAGATATATTAAATAATTGATTAAAATATGTGAGAATAAATAAGAATAAATATTGTTTATAAGTTTTAATACTAAATAAATCATTATGAATTTATAATTTTTTAAATATATGAACACCTCTAATTTTATTTTTTGCAGTAATTTTTATTTTTAAAAATCATTTTTAAATGGAACTACTGTATAGGACCACTAAAATAAACAATAATTTATTAGTCAAAATTATTTAATTTTATAATTATTTAATTTTAATTATTTTGGAGTTTCCTCTTACTCTAAAATATTTTGT